GTTTCTGATGCTACAGACCTGTCTGGCCAGTCGTAGAATTTCAGGAAAGTAGCGTGACCTTGTCTACATGCCATGTGTCCTCCTAGCTCCCTTTTCCCCACAACCACAGCAGGCCATGGAGAGCGGGCTTGGGTCTGAAGAAGGCCCTGAGCAGCAGGGGCTCTCGTGTGCATGTCCAGAGAGCAGATCTCCGGTCAGGGCCACACGGACGGGGCGCACGGTGGAATTCAGTTCCATTGCCATGGGGATGCCCAGAAGAAGCGGCTGGAAGATGGCTGAGATGCAGCCATGCCACAGAGTCTCCTCCTTGGCGTCGTGAGCGTGTTTGATGAGCAGGAGGCCCTTTCAAAGGCTTTCATGGCTCTCATGTTGGCCTGAATATTTTCCTCTGTGCCCTCAGCCCTCTGGGCTGTGGGGCTGTGCCATATCCTGTGTGTGCAGCCTAAGCAGCCTCGTGGTCCTGCCAAGTGGACTAATCAGGCACCGACATTGGGCAGGGACCCATGGATCAGCCACAGATACATGACATTCAGGGATTTACATGGGTCAGCAGGCTTCCCAGGGAACCATCGAGGGAATTCCTATGTGTCTCAACTTAGTGTTGTGTTGGATTTTAGGAAGCATGCAGTTCTGTGGTTAATCATGGATTTTCCAGCTATTTTGAGATAATTCATATGTATTGGCCTGTAGAAAGAAACCCCTTGAGGTTGAAGATAATACATGCAAACAGCATTTTAACAGTAGGAATATGAAATAGGGACACATGTCCTAATTTCTCCTGTTCTAGAGCACCAGTCCTGCGGGCTCGGCCAGGCCAGTGAATGCAGGAGGCCAAAGGAACCGTGGCGAGCCAGCCACCTTCCTGCAGCGAGGGCCACCTGCACAGGTATCCGAGCGTCCTCTCCCAGCCTGCAGGCTTCCAGGCCACTGGCAGCACAGACAGCGGGCAGGCTTTTCCTCAGTCTTATCTCTGTCAAGTTTACAGGTCCGGGTAGACCGGGCAGCACTGCCTCCATCCCTTTGTTCTGTGTCCTCCTTGGAGAAAGGAATCTTTAATGCATCTAAACACAACTCCCATTTTATCAAGAGAGGAGGTTGCCTGCTAAAGACCATGACTGGGAAGTCTGCTTGTCTAGCCCATGAGGGCCTTGCACTCCTGTATCTGGTGTCCTCCATGACTTCAAGTGATTTGTGTGCACGTGTGTCTGCACAGGCACTCCTCCATCCGACTCATGACCATCCCATGTCCCCAAGATGTAGGGTTGTCTACACCTGACCTCAGCCAGGTTCATTTCTGCCAGTCCTGAGGAGACTACCCCAAGTGTAAGGCCCCCTCTCTGTGGGGTCTTCCCCAAGAGCACCTGGCTGGCGGGTGAGGCAGATGGGGATCCTGCACCTGTTCCCAGCAGGGCTGGGCTGCACACCCCGGCAGCGGGGGGGGGGGGGATCTGTTTCTTCTCTTCCTGGGCCCCCTCGGCTGCCTTGTGTCTCCGCAGGCAGAGGCTGTGAGGAGTCAGGGATTCTCGTGCTCCTGCGTCTTCAAGTGAGTTGATGGGAACGTTTCCCGGTGCTTTCACTGTGATCCACGTTGGCCCTTTGAGAGGTTTCAGGAGTTAGTTCCATATAAAATGAATTTTGTTTTTCTGTGTACGTACTTGCTTTTAGATTCTTAAGATTCTAAAATGTTTATCCTAGTATCTTTTAAATAATATTTACAGAGTAAATAATTCATTTTAGATTACTGTTTTTCAAAAAGCCCAGTTACCTTTTTGTAAAGAAAAGCTCTGGAAAGATGTCTCTTTTTTTCCTGAAACAGTTCCTTTTTACGTGAGTAAAGCAGAATGAGGAAGACTAAATTTAAGTGTAATTTAGATACAGCCAGATTTTTATGTGCATCCACGATGTTAGTTTGGCTGTGCAAAATGTTTCTCTGAATCTTGCACACAGCTGGCAGAGTGAATATAACACGTACGTGAATTAGTGATCTGCCAGCTGGAGGAGCAACTGGGCTGGTCAGGGACACAGCTGACACAGCGGGTCACTTCGTGGTCTCCAAGAGGCTGTGACTGTGGACTTTGGTGGTCACATTTAAAATAACTGATTTTTTAAATTCTTTTTTTTCCTCTTGAAAAGGTATGATGCAGAGTTAAAGGCCTGAAGTATTTTCAGAGGAAAGTTTAATAGAATATTCTAATAGGTTTGCTCATCAATGTAGAGTAAATACAGCTGGTTGAATATAGTGGTGAAGTGTGAATGTGGTAGCTTCATAGAATTAACTGCATGATTTCTACTAAATACCTTTTAGCTTAGGAGCAAACCCGGTGTGTTACGTTTAAAGACTTTATGGTGATCTGATGATTATTGCTCTGCTGGCTTACCCGTTGCTGCACGGTTCCCATATTCTCACATACTTGGGAGTGACTGATGGTCTCAGGTCAAAGGTGCTCTGCTTGGGGCCCCCCTTTATCCACCAGAGGCTTTGTAACTAGATGTCCCTGCCCCAGACTGCACCTGGGGCCTGGCAGGGCAGGAGGGCACATGCTCAGCCCTTCCTAGGGACAGGCTGTGGCCGGCCAGCCTCGCTGGGAGGCTCCTTGAGGGGCAACACCCAGTTGTCCCTGGAAAAAAGTCCGTTTTTATGAGTTAAATATATCTGACCACCTTTCTTCCTTTGTGCATTTTGTGGAATACACTGGAAACCTGGTCTTTCTGAATTGATGGATTTTTTTTTTCAACTTAACATTTAAGGAGCCATGACATTCTGTGGTTCCAAGCTCAGAAAGCCTGAAAGCCGCTATAAGCATACCCTCAGGCTCCTCCCCTCACTGCGGCTGAGCCTCAGCTTCCCTGCAGCACGTGGCCTGGCAGTGGGGGGCGGTGCCCTCGTACCTGGGGGCTCTGGTCTTAGGTAGACCTGCTGAGAAGTGGATCAGCTGTAGCCTCATCTGTTCTTACCCAGATGTGCAGGTCACACCAAGCAGCTCTGACACTGCCTGGATCCACACACCCACCCTTGCCAGATGCCAGTCACAAGTGGGGCATCCCAGGTCATCACCCCTTGTCTGATCAGCCAGCTGGGATCAGGGTTCCCACAACCCCGAGGGGGCTCCATCAATTGCTAGAGCAGCTCCCCAACGTCAGGACTCACTCGCATCTGGTGGCTTATTAAGTCATGAAGAACAGGACACCAAGTAGATGAAAAGCCGCCCAGGGTGAGGTCCATGGGCTTCCGAGCGCAGAAGCTGCTGTCCCCGTGGAGTGGGGGTGGGCTGCCCTGCCAGTCGTAGGTGGATGTGATCAACCTGGAAGCTCCCCGAGCCCCGTACTTTTGGGATTCTGAGCAGATGGGTCATTGGCTCCATCTCCAGCCCCTCCCCTGTGGGGAGGACGGGGACTCCGGGCTTCTCCTGGCTGCTCTGGTGACCTGCGCCGTCCAGACGCCCACCTAGAGTTGCCTCATTAGAAAAAAAGATGCCACCGTCAGCCAGGAGCTCCTGAGGGCTGCGGGACTCTGCCAGACACTGGGGACAGAGACCAATAAACCTCTCAGTGCTTTGCATTTCTTTAGCAGTTTTACAGATCAGATAAACTTGTTAAATAATGATTCACTGTGAGATCATAAAAATTATGTTGACTTAGGAATTTTTGACATCAGTTTGGTGTTTCTGGATATATATTTTGGGGGGAAAACACATTCAGCTCTGAAGCATGGTGCCTAGGACTCACTGATACACATGTGAGTGTGATCATCTTTGCATTCCACCGTGCACCCTTTTTAATAAGCTGATGTTATCATCCTGGAACGTTCTGGCACTTCTCAGGCACTCATATGCTCAAGGATGTTATGGGGGCATTGAAGCAGAGTTTCTGAGCCTGGGAGTTCCCCCCTGAACTTCTGCCCTCCAGGCTTGGCCACAGTGACCACACCCACGAAAGGCTGCCCTGTGCTGCCGGACCCCCAGCCACACGCAGCAGGGGATTTTGCAATTTTTTTCATCACATACTAAGAACAGAGAAAAATAGCTATTTCACTTGTGCCAGGAGAGCATCACTTCTTGAGAAAACAGCATTGTTCGAAAAATGTAATTGGAGGTGCTAGAAATCCAGACCGAGTAGCAAACGTTTCTGTCGCACAGTGGGTGACCTCCCACTTCTTATGTTCTCCTTTTCACGTGATCTGTGTCGTCATCCAGGGTCTTTGTTAGAAGACCAGGATGAGTTTGAGGTCATGTGGAAGGCACGCCCCCGCCCCCCAAATCAAACATGGCTCCTTCTGACTGAAGGGGTGTCAGGAGGCAGCTTTCATCCCCCTTACTCTGGGCAGCTGAGTTGCGCTGCTGGGAGAGCCTGGGAGCCTCCCATGCTCCGTGTCCCATGCTCCGCGTCCCTTGGGCCCGTGCTGTAGGGGAGCAGGGAGGGCCGATTCTAGTGCCCATGGCTGTTAGTTCCCGTCACCCTCATGTGGCACGTCCATAAATGGTTCAACCTGAGGCCTGTGGGAGAGAACACACTGCCTGGACACAGCTGGGACCCCACCCTGAGGCTCCAGAGCACCTCCTAGAAAGCACATGTTCTGTGCAGCTCATTGATCATGAGCATTTTAACAGAATGCTCTGATTTTCACCATTAAGTTCACTAGTGCAGTAGCAAGAAAATCGAAAATCCCCATTAGAATTGTGCTGCTGAGAAGTGACTGGCCAGCCCTCCGCGTGACCTGCCCCTGGGATCCAGGAGGACCTGGTGAAGCCACATGGTCTCGTGGCAGCAGGTGGAGGGAGCAGCCCCGGAGCCTGGGCCTTCTTGGCTCGCCCTCACCCTCCCTGTGCACCTGCTCTGTGCCCCTTGGAGCCAGCTGCCGGGGCCAGGCAGCCGTGGACCCGGGACCCATGCGCCTGTGGTTGAGCCTGGGCAGGGGGTCATGCGTGTTGGTGCAGGGGCCAGGTCCTGGGACTTGTCTGGGAGGTGGATGTGTTCACACGCTGACTCTCTTCCTCTGCCAGGTGGATGACATCCTAGGAGAGGGCAGTGACGACAGCGACAATGAGAAGAGGAGGCCAGAGGAGGAGCGGAAGGAGCGGCCCCCACCCCGGGAGCCCCAGGCCACACCCGAGGCCACACCAAGCAGCGAGAGGACCAGGGCCGGCAGCCGGGGGCCCAGGTAAGGGGGAGGGGCAGGGGGGGACGTCTGCAGGTGTGTCACAGAGCAGACCCTTCAGACTAGCATTTTCAGAAGGTTTCACTTATGGTGACGTGAACTTTTATCACGTTTGTGATTTCAGTTATTCCTTGTGGAGATCTTTCTGCCCCTGGGCAAGCACTTTGTGTGTAGTGGGGTTAGTACGGACCCCAGGACAGTGCATGGCTGGCACAGCATGGCACAGCCCCTGCCCCAGCTGGTCTTCTCTCAGCTTCCCCTTCTGCCATGGAGCATAGTGGGGCCGCCTCAGGGCTCGCTGCAGGTCAGTGGATCAGGGCCGGCACACACGGCACACATGTGTGCCCTGCATGTGCTCCACCGTAACTGGGCTCTCCCTCTGTGTGGGGGTGCTTCTCTATATCCACTTGTCAGCTCTCAGCCCGTCTGGTCCAACCCTGGGATGTTCTGACAGGAGGAAACACTTCAGAAGAGCTTAGCTTGCTTGAGCAGCCCTGTTACAAACAGGATTGGGCTGGGATCAGAGCAACCAGTGGAGAGAGGGCGGAGGTTCCTGGTTCCTGTTAAGTCTTACTCTGAGAGGGGATGCCATGTGCCACTGAGCCGCGGAGCAGGAAGATGTCAGCCAGTCCCAGGGTGCTTGTGGACTTGCCAGTCCCGCGGTGGAACTTTCCAGAGCACAGTCGTCCTCTTCATGGTGGTGAAGTGCTGTCCAGTTATTTTAGGAGCTAACTGTTTGAGCTCTGTACGAGGGGAGGGTGAGCTGACACGATCATTGCACTGGGTTGTCTTCACCCCTGTGCGGGAGTCCCACCAGGGTCCCTGACGAGCTGGTGGGGTGGCACTGGCAAGCGCCCATGACACGTGACATCTTCTCACTGATGTATAACACACTCAGCTTCCGGTCTCGTGTTCTCTGCCAAGTAAAAGATTCCGAGCAGTTTTCACTAAGACTCAGAAAGGCCTGGTAGGAGCCCACTGGGAGTGCCCTCTCCTTGTGGGGACATGGCTGTGGGCGTGCAGCCAGCTGAGGCTTGGTGTACACCGAGCCCAAGAGGGCACGTCATGTCTCTTCATTTTCACCGGGTCGTGTCCCAGAAAAAACAGGCCCCAGGGTTTTGCTCATGAAGAGCATTCGCTCTGATGAGGATCGGGTGCCCGCCTTCTAGACTAAAAGCAGCATGCTTGGTCCCGAGGGGCCAGGTTTCCTGCATCTCCATGCTCAGCCCTGCGCAGGGACAGAAAGCCCAGCCACCCACTTGGGAGTACCCGGTCTTGGGAAGCATCTAAACAAAAGGTACCCACCCAGCAACAAGAAACTTGAAGTCCTCCAACATGTGGCCTGGGGGTCACGTTTGGTGGGGGCCGGGCCCTCGACAGGCGCCTCCTGAGTGTCCCGAGGCCAGAGGCTAAGACACTGAGGCTGAGACTCAGCTGGCCGTGTGGGATGCGCTCTTACCTCCTCAGAGCTGGCTTCCGCTTGTCCCCAAAGCAGGGACTCTGTCCGTGCTTCTCCCTGCCTGCTAACCCCTGCCGGCCTGAAACTTCCCCCATGGGGCTGTGTCGGGAGCTCCAGGGTTTCTCGGTGTGCCACATGGCTCTGAGCCCTACCACAGCAGAGTCAGGTGCACTGGCTCCCCGGCTGTTATCGCAGATGACAGGTTTGTGGTCCTTGTTTCTTTCTGTACCAGGGAAGTTGGCAGATGTGCTTCTCTGTGTGTATTTCACCCTTGTTTATGGATCGTAGGTGGAAGTGAGTGGTGATGGGAATGCGGGGCTGGCTTCCACATGAGCGTCTGGGTGGCAGCACCTCTTGCTGAGTCCATTCGGCCAAGCTGCTCTGTAGGATCTTGAGGTCCCTTGAACTAGAGAGTGAGTTGTAATGGAAGGAGGGAGGCAATAATTTATCTGTGGTTTGTTCTTTTTTTTTCAAATAACAAACATCAAATGCCTGTTTTACAGCACTTTCATTCCTCGACAGAGGGATAAAAAAGTTAAGTATGTGTTTGAAAAGCATTTGCTCAAACCAGTTGTCTTCAAGATGTTAAAACATCATGCAGACACATCATCATCACCACCATTTGCAGGTGGCAAGGCGGCTGGCGTGGACAGTGTCCCCAGGGTCTCACATCAGGACCATCTGTAACCAACGTTTGCTCTCTGCTTACATTTGGGTGGGAAGCAGGGCACTGTGGGAGTCAGGGTAAGGCTCTGTTCAAACTGGAGTCAGTGAACAAGTGAAAATGACAGCGTTTCTACCACAAAACCATTCATTAACTCATTAACTGCCAAAAATACAGCATCATGTAGTTGGTAACATTGAAGAAATCTGCCTGTAAAGGTTAATAACTGACATGCATCCAGGGTCCTGCCACCTGGCCACCTAGCCCCCTTCCTCTATCCACAGAGCAGCAGGTGGCCAGCCTGTGCTGCAGATGCGCGGACAGCTGGGGAGCTCTCCTTCCAGAAGGCTCCGGCAGTCCCACGGCAGCAGGTACACTGGCTGCACTAACAGTGTACCTGCACAGGCTGCACTAGCAGTGCTTTTTGGTGTTGGGTGATGAACTGCACTAGGGAGATGTGTCGTTTGCTGGATACAGTGGGGGAACATTGAAATCTGTACTGGTTGAAAATGAGCCTTGCACAATGGTTGCAAGCCCAGAAAACGGCTCAGGTGGCTGGGGTGGACATTGGGACATTGTTGTGACCCCAGTACATCCTCTCCTATGGAAGCCGGCAGGAGGCGGGAGCATCTCTGCTCACGTGGGCAGTAGGACATTCACGTGCTTCATGCCCTGTGGTAGCTGCGTGGTGTGCGTCTGTACCAGGGGTCAGGGCCTTGTCTCCTGTTTCAGACCCCTGTGTGCGGGGGTCATGCTCTTGTGCACACGCATCACTCAGAATTCTGAAAGGTCAGAGGTACTTATGGTGCCAGCCTGACACTGGGTGGTCATGTGGCTCCAGGGAGGGTGGTAGAGGTGTCGCTCCATGAGTGCAAGTGGCAGTGCTTGTTTCTTTTTTTTTTTAATCATATATATATGTATATATATATATATATACATATATATATGTATATATATATATTTTTAAGATTTGACTTATGTATTCATGAGAGAGACAGAGAGAGAGAGAGAGATGCATAGACACAGGCAGAGGGAGAAGCAGGCTCCACGCAGGGAGCCCGACATGGGACTCGATCCCGGGTCTCCAGGATCACACTCTGGGCCGCAAGCGGCGCTAAACCGCTGCGCCACCAGGGCTGCCCCGGCAGTGCTTATTTCTTACAGCACGGTGTCTGGTGATCACTTCTCACCAACACGACATGTAAACAGTAGCGGCACCATGGTTCCATCATACTGTCCTTTTCTCTTAGGGCTGTGCTCAGGCTGGACCCTCAGAGGCTTCCCCCTAAGAAAAGTGACTTTGCCAGAACAGCCAAGCTGGTCATTAGGCACACACCAGCCACCCTGGCCACAGAGAGGCCTGACCCAGCTGCTGCAGCACAGGAACCACAAGGCCTGGTTCCACTCAATGGAAAAGAGGCGGTGGAAGAAGCCGCTGGTGCACACGGCCCAACCTTGGAGCTCACAGAGCGACTCCCACATGACCTCCACAGGTGCACAACCATCGCAGGTGTGCTCCTGGGACCGAAGGACCGTGCAGGGAAATGAGAGCAAGTAGATGGACGATGCTGCGAAATGCAGCAGGGGCCCGAGGGTCGATGGGAACCACAGAAGAAAGAATTAGCAGTGTGGCATGTGTGCTCAGAGACATGGGGCCATGGTAAGCCTCCCACACGCCCACAGCGGGATCAGAGGAGCACGAAGGCAGAAGGGCAGGAAACCTCCACCTGGATGGAAGGCATTCCCACACGCCTAGAAAGTTCGACTCCACGCAGGGTCAGCCAGAGATCCACACCCAGACACATTGTGGTAACAGTGCTGAAAGCTGGAGACCGCACACATGGACAGCCAAGAGCACCTGCAGGACTGGCAGCCAGCTTCCCGTCAGACACAGCACATCCAGTATTGGAGAGGACCCCACAACCAGACAAAACTCCATCAAAAGTGATGGTGTGATGAGGATGTTCCCAGCTGGGATCGTCTCTGAAGAGAATGGGTTGCAAGCCAGAAAGACCGAAAGGAGCTGTCGTGCCCAGAAGCCAGGGACCTAGACAGAGCAGCATCCATACGAACACCTTGAGCACCGTGCGGGGATCAGGGAATCATCAGGCAGCTTGAATTTATACTTTTCTTCTTTCTTCATGTCATCGACACAAGGAGCAGTTGTGGACGGTGCTGTGTATGGAGTTGTCAGTGGGGCCTGTGGTGGAGAGCCGGAGCATTCACTAGTGACCACACACAGGCCATAGGATCAAGATGCTTGTAAGAAACAGGAAGTTAGAAGGTTTGCTTGATGTGGTGTAAGTGTGTGCGTGTTTTCTTTCTTTCAGCTTCTGTATAAGCTGTAAAACGACGTACAGGGTACGGGTTCTAACAGTGTGTAGCACACGTAAACACCCCAGGAATGACAGAAAGGGTGGCCCTGAGCTAAGGGCTGCATCCGTGCCCATATCTGACCGGCTGAGACACAGATCAGCTTGCCATCCATCCTGACGATGTGACATGGGGTAGCAGTGCAGGGACGGCTGCTGTCCTACCGTGTTATGGGAGACAGGCTTGCTTAGTGCAAAAGAGCGCAGCAAAGATGAACGGGCTCAGAGCTTCACAACCCTGCAGCACAACCAGTGTGAGTGGGCAGTGATAGAGACCAGCTGTCCGGCTCGCGACTGTGCTCCATGTGGTGAACGGTGCTGATGGAGCGAGTGGCTCAGCAGCACGTGGAAGCCGCATCGATTGTGGCAAGGCCAAGAGGCAGGAGAAGGACAAACAGCCTCTGGGTCCCCCCACAAGCCTGTGGGACATGCCGGTGCCAGGAGTCATGTGAAAATGCAGCGTGCCCATAGGGCCCGATACCACTGTTAAGAGGAGCTTGCACCATAGGACCCGTCCTCCTGGTCCCGAACAGTGCGACCCCCGCCTCGGGGTGGTGGTCGTGGGGTGCCCGCACTGTGCCGATAGTGGTGCCTGTGAGGCCAGGCCCTCGGGAGGCAGGGTGCAGAGGTGAAGGAGGTGCAGCAGCCTCTTGGTCCCCCCTGCGAGGGCATTAGGAGTTGTCTGGGGACGTCACTGTCAGGCTTTTCAGAAACTTGCAGCCACTGTGGTCCACATGGTTTGGTTTTGGCAAATGTCCTAGCCCAACGCCTACACGTTACTGTGAACCGCGCGTCGCTTGGTTCCCACAGATGCCCCTGCAGACCTTGCGGCCTGCTCAGGCTTCCCGGCCAGGATGTTCTTCAGACAGTGGGGGTTCCCTCAGTTCTTGTGAAGATTTGTGTCCATGGTTTTAGTGGCATAAACTTTCATCTGTGGAGAAGAGCCTCTGACCGACTGTCAGGCCAGGCAGTCAGAAGCCATGAGCACACCCACGGTGTGACCTGAGGAGGCACGTGGACACCCAACAGCACACGCTGCTGTGGCCCCAACCTCACACTCACCTTGTGTGCCGTGCGGGATTGTAGCAAAACCACTGAATCAAGTCAAGTATTTTATTTTTTTAATACTTGCCCATGTCCCAGAGAGAATGGTGTGGATGTTGTTCCGGGTCCTTCTGTGACCTGGGTAAGCAGGCCAGCAGTCCCCGCCCCAACCAGTGTCACGGGTGCACTCCTGCTGGGGCAGTGCTGTGTGACACATTCTCCATGGAGACAGTCGCCTGCACACGGCTTGGGACTCTGCTCTGCCACGACCCCTTTCTTGGAGGCCCCTGCAGTGTCTACTTGGTGAGCCTGGCTCCGCAGACCAGTTTCCTTTTCAGCCCAAGTGTGAGTGCAACACACCTGCAGGCCAACAGGAGGGTCCTGGTGACAGGGAGCAAGGAGCTGGCCTGAGGCCCAGGGCCCTTGGTCTTTATGGCCCATGGCCGGCTGCCTTCTCCACGGCCACTGCAATGCCCCGCACAGACCACAGCATGCGGCATGGTTTGGCTGCTGCCCCATAGTTGGTGTCAGGTGACCATATGGCCTGGGCAGATTCCCTGTGGTCCTGCCTGAGTCACTGGCTGCTCCTGATGTCCATCCTCCTGGATCCTCGTGGTGAGAAGACGCCCACCATGCTCACGTGTACCCATGCTTACTTCACACTGGGCACATGTTGGAGAAGGCAGCTAGCTACCTCAGTGAGCCTTGTACATAGCTGTTTTGTAGCACACAGGCCTGGCCATCCCACACACACGCACACGGCCTACACGAGACATGTGTGTTAGTTGCAATAGTGACCTCGTCAAGTGCAGCACTGCAGCTTCTTTCTGCCAAAATAAACCAAACTGTCCAGCACATTGAGGAATACCTGCTGCATGGGTACTGCTTGATGGTCATTGGTCAGATGCCAGTGACAGGAACCATCACATGCGTAATGGGCAACAAGCCTGAGGCGCCAGAGTGTTCCCTTGCATCAGTGGTTCAGGACAGGACCATCAGGGAGGAGACATATATGCGTTGGTGCTGTTCATGTTCCTGCTGGAGTCCACGCTGAGCATCGGATGATTTTCCAAGCTTTAGGTTTTCTCCAGATTCCATCCATTAGCATTTCTGTGCATCTGTGCAGTTGGTTTTAACAAGAAAATACAAATGCTATGTGTCGCACTCTTTAGTCGTTCACCGGCATTTATTAGTAGTCATGACCAGCAGACCTGTTTCCAATTTCTGAAATAATTTTTTTAAAGGGAGGGAGGGACACCTGGGTGGCTTAGTGGTTGAGCGTCTGCCTTTGGCTCAGGGCGTGACCCCAGAGTCCTGGGATTGAGTCCCGTATCAGGCTTCCCCGCAGGGAGCCTGCTTCTCCCTCTGCCTGTGTCTTTGTCTCTTTCTCTGTATATTTCTCATGAATAAATAAATAAAATCCTTAAAAATAGTAATAATTAAAAAATAATAAGATAAAGCCTAGCCCAAATGCACAGCACTGGACAAAGTGCTCTCAGGGGTCCAGGAAGAGGCAGGTCTCCCCAGCACTTGGCCCACAGTGGAGGCTGGGGTACAACAGGGCCCCCCAGGGCTGTTGCTCCTACAGTGCCCCTCTGAGACCCCAAACCGGCCCCTTGAGCCTCATCTGCTGGCAGTATTATTTTTTTTTTTTTAAGTAAATAGTGTGCTTTCCTAATAGCATCCAGGGTTTCAGATTTCTGGTACGGCCTAGCCGGTGTACACCAGCGTATACCGTGCGTGTGCTGCTGTGATGTGTATATGTGTGTGTGCACATGGTTGTTCAGGGGCTGAGCCTTGAGGGCAGTCCCTGCCTTGTCCCAGGAGGCCTGTCGGGGTCGTGTCCAGGTGACCCAGGGCAGGCATGGGACCAGGCCTGTTCCCAGGCTGTGTCCATGTCCTCAGCTCAGTGTTGCTGCTCCCAGCTGGTGGGGTGAGGTGTGGCTGCACTAGCTGACTACCCCCACCCTGCAGAGCTGCAGAAATGCCCACATTCTGGGCCCTGTGCTTATGCTGTCCCCAGGTGGGAGGTGCCCAGTGCGGCGGAGCCTTGGAGTGGAACGCAGGTGTCAGGTGCTGGCATGCACTTCAGTTTGTTGTCGGGGTGATTGGTTTTGACAGCCGCCTCATGGGGCGTGGGGGGTTGAGGCAGTGGACCATGTGATGGCCCCACCTGACCACCTGGGGAGTGCCTGTACGTCCGTGTATGGGGGTGGCGGAGCTAGCACTGACACACCTGTCCTCCTGGTGCATTGTGTGCTCATTCGTGTTTGTTCTTGCTGGAGCCCTGGAAGGAAGGCTGGTCACGGCGGCTCCCGGGTGGTGGGATGGGCTCAGACAGCAAGCCCGCCCGCCATCCTCAGTCACACCTGCCACACTCAGGGCCCGGCCCTTGTCTCCCTGCATCCTCCAGGGCTACAGGTGGGCTGTCACTGCTGGGACGCCCCTGAGCATGGGGAGCAGACAGAGCTTGTGCCGCGCTCCAGGTGTCCGAGCACCACATCCACAGAGGACATGGCGCACTGCGTGTGTATGTGCGTGTCCCTAGGTCCACGTGGGGTGCCAGTGTGTGGGTGCATGCGTGCCTGTGCGTGCATGTCGGGGCACGTGGATGCTGATGCCGGGGCGCGTGCCCGTGTGCATCAGCATCCTCAGGCACAAGCGTCTGACAGCCTGCGTCTATCTTGCAGAGGCCACAAGCGGAAGCTGCCTGAGGAGGACGCCGGCAGCGCATCCAGCGGGGAGTCCAGCGGGGAGGACGAGGAGGGCAGCAGCTCAGAGGCAGACGAGATGGCCGCAGCGCTTGAGGCAGAGCTCAACGACCTCATGTGACCTGTGGGGCAGGGCGCAGGGCAGACACCGCTCTATCCCTGGGGGGCTCCTGGCCGCATGGGCCCTCGCCTGAGGTTTCCTTTTCTCCGGGAAGACATGTATATTTGCAGAGCTCCACATACAGAAAAAATAATTTTGCAGAAATAGGTGTTTTTAGAGGTTTTACTACAGAAGGTCTACTTTTCTAAGGGACAGTGTCCTCGGAGGTGGTGTGCCAAAGATGTCACAGTGGCCCACACAGCCTGGTATGCAGTGGGCAGGCAGTACATGGGGCGGCAGCCAGAGCTGCCCCTGTGGGCCAGGCAGCGGGCGGGTGCGCGGGGCCCTCCTCCTCCAGGACACAGATGTAAAGTTTTGTATATCTATTTCGCAATTGACCCACCAAGCGGATTTCTCTTTCGTTTAATAAAACTCCTTTTTGTAAGCTGGTTCCCTGGCGTGCTGTGCAGCAGGAGCACGTCACGGGGAGCAGATAACCTAGCTCACCCGTCTAAGCGTGCCATGGCTGGCTGCTCATTGTCACACTTCCCGTGGGGAGGCCTTCAGAGGCGTGTCCCAGAGTGTGGAGAACAACGGAAGATTCTGTTCCCATGGTGATCAGGTTACGGGCACCCGACCCCAGATGACCCAGGACACAAGGTGGCTCCGACCCTGGCGACAAGCTGGAGAACAGGATTTGTCGTCCGCTGTATCCCCCAGACAGCTAGACGGCACATCGTCCCTGTCACTGGGGTCCCGGGTCTGACTCGCAGGCCCACCAGGTTCATGCAGCTCCAGTGAGAGCGGGTCCAGGGCCCCTGTGCTCTGGTTCCCTATTTCAAGCACATGGTGCTTCAGATGTGGCTCCTGCAGAGCCAGGGTGGTTTTGGTGGGAGAGTGGGTTGGGGCTGCAGGGCAGGGCCACCCCGGGGTAACGCTGACTGGGAAACACAGCCAACTCTGGCTGGGAAAAACAGATGCCAAATCATCTGTGCGACTGTCCCAAACGACGTCTCAGTAGGAAGTTTTAATAGCCTCAAACTCACTTCCCTGAACATCAGGTTTGAGAAGTCTAGTCCATAGGAGGGCCACAAGGAAATCCATGATCAGAGTTTGAAGAGAGAACTGAAAGTCCACACAAAATCTTTGCACAAGCAGGTACTAAATTTTAGACCATTAGAGACGTTGGAAAACCTGTAACTGGAAATTTAATGAAATTTTCCTTTCTTCCTTGGGAAATAGGATGTTGGAGTGGATCTCCTGTCCTGTCAGAGTTTTTTGTGTTTTCAAAACGTGACCCTACCCGGGGTCAGGGCCAGGGGGCTGCAGCCGCGTCCAGGGGGTCTCCACACGCCATGGATGTCACGCAGTTGCACACGTGAAGGGTGGGCTCCGTGCTAGGGGAATCCTATCTCTGCAAAACAGTTGGTTTAAAATGAAATTCGGCCCTGCCATCTGTGCCCGCCATGTGCTGCCCTGTGTGCTCACCTACTCACCTGCAGCCTTGTCTGAAGTGCAGCTTTTCTGTGTTGAAAGGACCACCAGGAGGGAAAGTCCCCAGGCTGCTGACCTCACTGTAGCTTAACATTAGTCTAATTGTGACCTTTTAACACATAGAAATCAAAGATGAAGAGAAATGGCTAGAATCCTGTCACCATGTTGAATCACGTTAAGGTTTCACTGTGCTGTTTTAGTCTGTGTGTATTATTAAATAGACTGTTTTAGAGCAGGATTGGGAAGGTACAGGCTTCCCATAGTCTACCGCCGACCTGTGACCTGTGTCCCCCAGCAGAGGCTTGTGTGTGTCACCATGACGAGCCTACCCTGGCATGTCCGTGGTGTGCATCCTGTGGTCCAGACATGTAATGTCACAAATCCACCATTGGGGCAGCATACAGAGTAGAGTCGCTGCCCTAAAAATCCTCGGCGCTGCCTGTTGCAGGCTGCCCTGCAGCTGGACCCACAGCCTGCGGCCCCTTCACATAAGGACATGCCCACCAGGTGCCTCTGTCTTCCTCAATATCCAGCACACAAAACCCAGTCTGCAAAATTCCTTAAGGCAGACTGCCTGGTTTCTTCAAAACAATCTAAGGAAGAAAACAGAACCGAGGGAAACCTAGTGGTTAACTCCCAGGCCGTGGCTTATTCAGGCAGCAAATCCCATGAGCTGGAAGCAAGACAGGCAGTGCGCCGTGGGTGCCCACGGGGTGTACCGCGTGTTCTAGATGACCTTCTTTAAGAGTTCCGGTTGTTAGGAAACACACTGAAATACAGTGTGTCTGAGACTGGCATCAAGACGACGACGAGGGAGGCAGATGGAGGGATGGAGCTCCTGGTGACAACAGCACCCCAGGTCAGTGGTGCCAGGTGGGAGCGCCACTTCCTGATGGACAGACAGCACGGACCAAGGCCTGCTCTGTACAGTGCCGCTGCACCCGGCAGGGCCAAGCACACACACGGCTTCAGGCACATCCCTGCTGTCTTTCTAAATCGGATTTGGGTTCATCTGTAGCAAATATAAGAAGGGACCGGTGCCAGTTTTCGGTGCTCATTTGGGAAGAAAAGGCTCCACGCAAAGCTGTGTGAGCAGCAGCTGCTCCCATGCCACAAGACTTGCCCCCATTTGGCTCTACACTGAGACCCTCTTGCCTTTGTTAACAACCTTGTGCCTCTTACATGTCTGAGGAAGACCAGATAGTGTGTTTTCTGAGCCCCCACAAATGAGAGAACTGGCTTCTCGCTGTTGTGTCCCAGGAAGGCCCCTGAGGTTAGATCTTCGCTGGCCTGTGTCCCCATGGGAACCTATGGGCTTGGTCCCACCCCTGAGATGCCACCCCACATTGAAGGTCCCAGCTCTTTCCTCCAGAATGCTTTTAAGATTTTTATCTTTATAATTGTTTTATTTCAGGATTTCTTTGGATAGTATGTCTTTCTGGACATTTTTTGTATAGGAACCAGTCTGCAGTCAGGAACGCTTTTTTAGTTTAAACTGTCTTTGTTGCTTTCTGCCACCTGCTTACTCTGTGTTTTTTGGAAAAACTTTCTCTTTCCTGTCACTTGTCATTCCTTTGTCCTCTGTCCTGAATTTTTGGTGGAACTTCTCCAGTTAGCGTCCATGCGGTCTCCAGTCCAATCCTCAAGAGGCGCAGCGCCTTACTCCTCCTGCCATGTCATCCTGGAGGCGGGAGAGCTTCCCTGCAGCATTGCCTCATTGCACCTGTTTCTTGTCACGTCCACCTGGCGACCCGCACCTGACCACCTCCAGAACCTTCCACCCCATGTCCTATGCTGTTGCTTCCTCTTAGAGCACCTGGTTCTTCCGAAGTTTTCTTCAAGTTCTTGTGTTTTATAATTTTGTAAAAGATAGTTTCTCTTACTCTGTTTTACAAAGATATTAGGGTTTCTAAGAATGCATTCATTCTCAGAGGAAGACAGATCTGTCTGTCCTCAGAGCACAGTGGTTCAAGATGGTATCACTATCCTGTGTTGGCAGCAAAAGCAGCCCCCTGACCTGTGGGCTCAGGGCTCGGGCTTCCTCCTCTCTGCCCTCTGAGCAGGCTTCTTCCCTGCTTGGGGCCTGTGCACATGCCCTTTGCTCTGCCTGACATGCCTGCCCATCTCCTGTGGTGCTTGGCACGGCCCTGGCCTTGGAGGGACTGCCCCATGTCCCCACGTTGTCCGTGTCCTCGCTCCACCTGCTGTGTTCTTGGCTGGCTGAGCCCCGTGAGCCGGAGTGCTGTTTGCTGGGCCGTTGTAGCTCCTGCACTCCACACACAACCTGGCTCCTAATAGAATCAGTGGAGTAAAGGAAGGAAGGGCTCAGTTCCCAATGTTTGCGGTCACGTCACGTGGTTGGACATCACTTCCTTCAGTTCATTTCTGTTTGGTGCCCCGGTGCCCTGTCGCCGGTGGGCAGGGAGGGGTGTGGCTGACTCCTGTGCCTTGGTCACCTTGACCCCTGTGGGCTGAGAGCAGGTTGGGGAAAAGAAAACTTCTACCTGAGAAGTTTTAGAAACCTTTTAAAAGATACTTTCTTTAATTTAGTGTGGAACATAGTGATACATACAGAAGAGTGTTTATGAAATGTGTGTGCTCTTTAAAGAGAAAGTAGACAAAATAGGTCAGTTGGGCACGAAAGAGAACAGGCATCCAGACGGCGAAGACGGTGTCCGCGGGCGACGCTTGGCAGGTAGAACACCCACAGAAACCCTCGGGAAGAGCGCCCTCCAAGGCTGCAGGGGCGGGATCCATGGTAAAGCCACTATTGTATTTCTGTAACTAGCAACGAGTGACCCAAAATGAAATTGAGAAAATAAATCCACCTACAATTACACCAAAAAGAATAGGAAGGCACGTGCACACCATGCACTGAAAACCTCGCTGGGACATGAGTGGAGGTGTCTGTTCCTGAGCCGGAGCACAGGCGGTTGTGGCGCTGCTGACACCCCCGGCTGCTATGTGGCTCCCACACCACCCGCCGGGGTCCCAGCACCTCGTGTGCAGACCCGTAAGCTGCTGTGGAAACATGAGCAACCCCCGTTGGTCCAGCTGATCCCAAGGAGCAGGAGTGGACTTGGCAGATTCACGCTCTGGCCTCAAAGCCATGGTGACGACAGTGTGGCTGCGTGCGGGGGCTGCAGTGGGACTCCCCCACACCATCCGCAGCATGAATGGAGAGAACAAAAAGCCTACATGGAAAAGCCAAAGCAGGGACGCCCCTGGAGGAAACATCTTTGTGGATCTCATGCTGTATCACTGATTCCTTGGGCACATCGACCAACGCCCCCACACGGGCAGGTCACAGACTTCATTGCAGCTACAACCTGGGCACTTCAACTGGTGCAGTCAGGAGAGCGAGGACCCACAGGAACCACATCTGGTAAGACCGGTGTCTGGAATATGGAAGGACTCAGTAAGAACCGCGTTGTCAAAGGGACCAGAGATGGGAGCTGATGGCTCTGCAGAGGGGATATACCTGTGTCCAAGCCCAGCGTAGCCTCCCACATGCAAGCTGGGCCACGTGGTAGTAAAGTAGGTCCATTAGGGTTGTGTTCTCGTTGATTTAAAGTACTTGGATTATATATTTTTTAATAATATAATGAGCTCCTGGGTGGCTCAGTAGGTGACGCATCTGCCTTCAGCTCGGGTCCTGGGATCGAGTCCTGCATCCCACTTCCTGCCCGGTCTCTGTTCTTCCCCAGCTGCTTGTTCACTCTTCCTTTCTCAAGTAAATCAAAAGAGAATCTTTAGTAAAAATACCACTAGTATAACAAAAAGACAGCGTGTTGGTGCTGTGAACAGACCCCTTACAGCAAATACATGTGTATAGCGTGTGACCTGTGTGCGTACAAATACATACTGTCGGTTCTGTGTCTGATTTTGAAGTGTAAGAGGGGAATCCTCTTCCTCACATAGCATATTACACATTTGGCGTCTGTCTGTGTC